GCTGATCAAATCAGGCGCTACTTCGACGGTACGTGTTTTGGAGGTATGTACCTGGATGAGCGTGAAGTCGACGAAGATGACTTTCACTGGAATGGAGATCACTCGACTGTTCGAAAAAATGTAATCCACAAGGCATTTGACAGTGACTCATTTTTATCCAAAAGCTGCGCCCTTTTCTAGAGAACTTAATGTTTTAGAGTAAACCGTTTGTGAACCCGGCCTGGCGCTTCGTATCGCGAGAATTCAAGCTATATGAACTGTGAATTTTTTGACTGATATACACCTGGTTCGAATTGGCAGTCAGATAATAATGCCGCCCTCAGAAGCCTAAGGTTCTTACAGCCAAAAGAAACTAATCTCCAGTGACATGCAAATTATTGGACAGTCGGAAAATCTTACTGAGCAGTCCTGGGTCGCATACAGATCACCATTAACCGGTCTGAGAGATCTACCGTCCGACGAAATATATTACGAAATACGTTCGGATTCTTTATTGAGGTGTTGCCGTGCGTTCAATGGAGACTAATACTGAAATGGCTTCCAGTGCTTCGGTCCGGATTGGCGACTTCCATAGCCATTTACTTATACAGAACCACTTGCATGTGTCATGGTTGATTAAGCTCCACCACGTGACTGTAATGATGCTCAATGCAATGATGTCGGCAGAGTAGCAGGCAGGATAGTAGGCTTAAGCATATTCTACTGTCGTCGCGAAGGGAAAAAAGGAAGCACAACTTCCTGAAAAGAATTAAGTGCACTGACAACCAGGATAACCATTTCCTCGTAGGTTGACTGTTTCAGAGTTCACTCATAACTTCACTGTCTTCGAAGTATAATCTCCACTGTACCTCGCTCGTTTATGCAATTGCATGCTTTGTGTAAACGCATCGTCTTAAATCGCCTTGCCAACGCTTGTTACTGTGAATGCGGCAACATATGAATGCTACAGTGTACTACAGTCTTAGATGCGTCCTTCTCCGTACTTATGTGAACATAAACCGGTTACACCGGCGTCTGCAGCAAGACCTCCGGTTGCACAGTTCAGCAACTGAAAACTTTTCGTCGTTTCTGTCGACTTCTGACGTATCTGTTGCTGAGGGCTGCAGAAAAAGTGGACGCGATTATTCGCGTGTCATAGCTCATAGCCGGAATATCATGTTGCAGCACGCTGCATTGTTCAAGATTCAGAATGAGGGATCCAACTCGAGAGTTTGATATCTAAGCCACGTTTAGTACGTCCTAATGCAGGCCTGGCAACGTTCGCGACAGGATCTCGGTTTGTTTCATCTGAGAGTTTTACTGAAAGGCCTTCGGACATATTTGGCTTCGCACCGTGAGAAGTCGAAGCTCGACAAGCGAAAAACAAACACTCTCCAAACAGTGGTCAATAATATATTGCGTGATCGTTAAAAATAACGAAGTTTCACAAGTAAGAAAATTTCGGAACGATAAACATCAGAATCTGCGTAGCGATCACTATCAACCTCTAAGCAGTGGCGAAGACTTCAAGAAAGACGGTACGTGTTTCAAGTCTTCTCCGTCGTCGTTCTGTACACGAACAGCAATAACTTGATAACCACCAGCGGACAGTGAACGTGAATAATTGTGGAACTGCAGAACTGCGGAACTATAATACACATACAGTCGAGCAGCGCAGCACGTTTGAACAAGATTACGACGAATACAAGGGAACATAATTGTTCAGCGAATGGCAACGGCAAAGCAGACATATTCGGTCACACGTCGCCTGGCACCCAGCTCTACGTGACCACGCAGGTGCCAGCGACTGGTCGGTGCTTGTTGCAGCTGGCGCGCCAGCCAACCGACCTTCTACCATCATACCAGCGCTACGAAGAGCGAAGAGCTTGGCAATGAAAGTGAGACGAACGGCTACGCTACTGGGAGCAGTTCTGAGTTCGGTTGGGAGCCATCATCACCTTTGTAACGAAGTTGACAATCGCCGTCGCCGGCTGCTTCGGTTCAAGCTCGGCGAAAACATGGCAGGCGTTGCCTGGAGTGCTGACAGACTTCCGAGCGATGAAACCGAAGATTTCCGCAGTTCTGGTACCGGTGGCCGACCACCTGAAACACAGAGGGTCGATTAACGGACGGAATCACATCAAACAGAGACAGTGATCGCCGTGTTTAACATTCACACGAACAACTTGCTCAAGCACTACCGCAGGTACATTTGGCAGAAAGCAGTGTTCATGGGATCAGCGCTCGACAGGACTTGGCGTTGACTCAAACGCACTCAGATCGCAAACCGACAGGAGAACAATCAGTGTCAGTGTCAGACAATTCAAGTAAAACTAGATTCCCGGTAACTGTCAATACCGAAGGCAAACCTCGTGACAAGCAAACTCAAAAACGGCTTAACACCTGTTGCCTAAAGCATTGTGCGGTTCTCTCCTTCCCTCCGATGACATAACCATCACGTTTGACCACGCCTCCGTAGAAACGGGGCGAAACAGCTTGCCAAAATACAGCCATCGAATTCTGCGTGAATTTAACACCACCACGTAAGTCGTAGTTTGTTGGCACCAGGGTCCCTCATGGCGACAGTACACCGCTGATGATGAGACTTATATACACAAATAATATGTAATAAAAATAAACAGCAGGAAAATTTTTCACTGTATACGCTGAATCGTCTTCAAAATAGAGCAGCCAGTCGCGCCAAACACCATCGACATGGTTCGTGGCGACAACGCGGAGAACGGCTCGGTCGGACATTACTTACGATCTGTGTTCCGGGTCGATGTCGCAGTAGGTGACGGAGTTGACCGCGTAATGGCGCCGGAAGAACAACTTTCGCGTGTTGTCGGTGACAGTGATGCCCAATGAAGACACTTTAAAGTGAACACTGACCGGGTCCAGCTTTTTCTGCGACGCAAGCAGCAATGCCTCGTCGACTGTCCTGCGAAGCGCCTCGCGGCCGGTCAGGCACTCGGTGTCCAGCGAGTACAAATAGATGACGTTGCAAGCTGAAATGACCGTAACTGCCATGACCGTAACTCGAACAAGACGAACACCGATAGCGAAGTCGATATCGACGTCGAACTGGAACCTACCTGCGCCCTGTTCCAAAAGAGCTTGGCCACTGGTGATGTTCTCGACTGCGGACACTGGGTCGTAATCGGGGAGAATCAGCTTACACGGCAGGGCAAGTGGTGTGATCGAATGCTGATACACCAGAGCAGCCAGACTTCCGAACACCGGTTCGTTGCTGCAGCCCTTTAGTTTCACACCTTTCGACGTTGTTTCGATCAGAAAATGACGCACTAATTCTGTACCGTCATCTGAAATCGAACCAGTGGTCACGAACCATAGTGATGAAATAGACCTACGGTGCTAGTTAGACTCACTGCTACGGTTCATCTACCGTACTGATTAGATATTAAACGCACATGCAGAGGAAACAGCCTCAGAACAAAGCATCGCACTGTTATAATTATACTGTTACAGAATTCCCTCGGTAGTCTGTAGCGAAGTTTATGGCACGTGATTTGTACTTCGCACGGATACCAAACATGCGTCTAACGAGCTTCACTGCACAATAACTCCGTAGTAAATGGGCGACCTAAAAGATCTCATATCCTACGAAGAACAGTGCATCGACCATCAGAAGAGCAGTGTTAAGCATATCGAGAGACGCGTGTGCATAGTTTATTTGGACATCTTTGACATATAATCGCGTGATTAGTCAATTTCCGCGCTCTGAAAATGCAGTCATAAGAAATAGTGGAAATTTCAACCTAAAACTTCAACTGCCATCAGGTGCTTTTCCTTTTTCGCGACCCAAGGGAAGAAGAACAGCTCCATCTGCCCTGGCCTCAACATCGAACGAAATTTCCAATTAAAAAAGCGACGCATCACTTAGCCAAACCAACAGAGCATTACAAATCGTTTTAAGAAAGCGTAATTCTACAAGCCGAATTAACTGTGGCACAGACCATAAAGTCACAATTCGGCACGTCATAGGTACGTTCGCTGTTATGAGTATGAATATGAATAGATATGCTCGCTGTTAACGATTTGCTTAATCGAGTTCCCTTCCCAAGCAGCGTGTCGTAATGAATACTGTACCCTGGACTTCAGCTTGGAAAAAGAAGACATAACCTCGAGCTGCTTTCTTTGCAAACATGTGTAAGCGAGAGGGAGCAATGCAGTGGCAGAAAGATCGGTTTTGAACTCAGGTGCGGAGTTCAAATTCTGTGGATGGACAGCCTTTATGTCCATGCGCGAATTTGCTTGACCAATAAATTACTTCAGTGCAACCAGATGAAAAACGGCTAGTAAGACGGTGACATGCAAATAATACGGACAGCATCATATTTTGGACTGGCCATGCCTGACCCGAACTGACGAAGCGTGCGGCCAGTCTGTCCGATGCGAGCGCCCCGTGTGTCTGCACTTCGTTTTGACTCACTGAATAGCAGATCACTCAATGTAATAATCATCACAAGAGATGGGTTTCAATTTCGTGAGAGCGTGATCATTCTAATCGAGACGCTTCGCAAAGTTTAGCTTAGTAAAATTTCAATATAAAAATATCGGCCGGGGGAGGGGCACAAAGTCATGACAGAGAACATCGATGATAGCCTGTCAACTTATTTCCGGAAGGAAAACAAGCGAAAATAATATAGAATTCCGTCTTCATCTGTAAGGCAGAATTCGGTGCGATGGAAACCAAAGCGTAATCATGTAATTACGATGACAGTTTTCCTTCGCCCAGAAAACTTCAGGTATCAAATCCGGTCAGCGGAAGTGCAGCCTGTTGGTTGGTCATCTTTCGTGAAAAACTTCTGGCTCTGAAACTATCGACCGCTGCGGACGACAAACCCCATTCACGAAACTTCACCACCAACCTAACTCGAAGAAGGCCCGTGAGACACGTCGGCAATGGTCAGTCACCGGACTTAACACAGCATCTTCTGCGTTGCGCATAAATGAGCCGTGTTTTAAGCCTATTTTTTTCAGCATAATCGCCATCGCACGAACGAATTTCTGTCACCCTAAGTGCTCTGCAAGTTTGCTTTGCACCTATAACTGTGTAAGCAGTATCTTTAGAATCGCATAAACAGTTTCCAAACAGCCAGTTTCAGTCGGTTGCCACTAGATAGTTGGTTTTAGAAGTCGCTGACAGTCTAAATGTGGAACTAAACCGGATTTCGCAGAAAGAAAAACCCTAAGTTACGCAAGGCCTAACTTAAAGAGTGAATGACTCAATGGTTAAGTTTAAGAAAGTCGCCAGTGAACCTCATTTTTCAACAGATGCAAGGAGAATAAATATCAATGTTAAAAAGTTAAGAACAAAAGGTGGCAAGATACGAAAGATAAAGGGAACGAGATCTGCTTTTAACAGGAGGAAAGAGGGCAGTTAAACAGACCTAACGCCTTCAAAATCAAAAACATCAGAATTGGCTAAACTGGTAAGTGCAGAGTGAGAGGGGACACAGCAGCGATAAATGTTAGAGGAGCCAGTTACGAGCCATATTTCTTTCGAAAATAAATTAGTTATATT